AAACTGTACTTTGTACACAACGTGTATAGTATTGTCATTAACACAGAGGTAACTGTTCACTTCCGCTAGTCCTGTACATTTGCACTAACAATATCTCATACGTGGCTATGGTCCCCAACATCTGTAAGAATTGATAAGAAAATAAATTTTTTATCAGTACCCCATTTTGAACTATTCAGAAACCCTTCAACATCCGTTTTTAAAAAATCTTACCGTGAGAATAAACGATCGAGTAATAGAAAACAAGCCTAGTCCGGTCAAAGCTATTTCATCAGTTGTCACCTGCGTTAGAAATCTCTGAACCTGTTGGTAAAGAAGAGGTGAAAATAACTAACTTCGGTGATCAGCAACAACCCCGAAGGGACCATACCGTAACTCGACCAAAATGAGTACACCAGTACACCAGTAACAGAGTAAATCATAAAATTTGTCACATCTTCAGTTAGAAAAGCGGAGAAAAGTAATGTGGTGCTTGCTTTGCTATAAGATGCCAACAGAGACTATTTACAATCGGGGCTAGCTGCAGGCCGACGATACCCCAAAATTCTTTAAAAGTTTCTCGTATATCCGAAGGACACACGCATTAGCGGACTTGATCGACACAGTCGAAGCTCTGCCTGTGGCCGCGCCGATTCGATCATCTCAAACGTTTAATCAAACGAGACAAGTAGTCTAACCTCCTCGCTGTACTGCTTGGTCGGGACGGCGTACAGGACCCTCTTGACTGCCTTGCTCTCTTCGGGGATGCAGGACGCGCTGAGGACCACAGCAGCGGAGCGAAGCATGACGAACGTGAAGGAGAACAAGAAGTACACTTTCCTCGCAAACCCGGGATTATATGTCGATGGCCTTTTGTGCAGAAAAAGAATAGATCACAGTGGTGATAAAAGAGGAAAAGCGTAGTACCAATATAGAGTAAGGTTCCTTAAATTTGGGGGCAAGGACCAATAAGGAAGCATTATTCGCTTATTTAGTGGTTGGCTCTGACAGCCAATTTACACTCAACCGAGACCTAATTGCAACATGGGCTTTCATGAATTATTTAGATATAATTTGTTGGCGCTGTTGTCTAGTCGTTTTTAGCAACACGTAATATCTTTCGCAATAAATTTGTTGTTTTCATTTTATTTCTGCAAGTGATGTCACGAGCTTGTTGACACCCCCTTGACACGCCACAGCGGCGCTAAACGACGCAATGCGAGACCAAGTGGCGTGTAACACCCAATGGAACGGAACAAGATTATCAAAACGATATCAAAACGTCGCTAATTTTGTTGTCGTTTTTGACATCGTTCTGATAAACGGTAGACATGGCCTAGTGACCAGTCCGTCCACAGCCGCACGCCAGAGCGGTCCCCTGTGAGCGCGTGGCGGTCTCAGCCCTCCACTGTTAAATTCCGGCAAACGCAATGCTTTATTGAAGACACTTTCCAAATTGCGATTAATTCGAATACTTTGTAACTGCAAAGTATTACTTTGCGATTGCATTTCGAAACTTCGAAGCATATTAAACCATAGTTTTGCAATTGCAGAGTATCACTTTGTAATTAATGGTTTGCCGTGTATCAGAGCATCGGAATCCTTCGCAATTGGCAAAGCGTCTGCAAAGCACTGCTTTGCGTGCTCCCTATGAGGAGTAGGGTGGTGCTGCCGACCTGCCTCCTCGCTCTTCTCTGCCTCTTCGCCGATGTAAGTAGCGACCCATCACACAAACGACTTCACTACCACGCAGTGGAATAAAACTGCAGCAAGTTTGGCACAAACGCTTTTTATGTTTAGTAATGCAAAAAATTGTTCGCAATTTTTTTAAAGAAGAAAGAAAAAATTTGAGTTTTTTGCAGAGTGGTTTGTGCTGTCCATACAGGCAGCGAAGAAGAAGGGGGTCACGATGGTGGTGCGCATGCTGGACGGGCACGCGTGCAACTTGGGGAACAACGCTCTGACCTGGTCTAAAGTCTGGTTCACCCCCAGGGGAATGTCGCGCCTTGGCAACGCAGACTTTGGGCTCTCGAGGACGGCCAAGACCATAAGCAAGGTGAGCACCGGGCCCCAGCAGCGACGTGGTCATTCGGATGCTCTTTATACTTTCACAAAAACAACGTCTTCTTTTTTATCAGAAAAAATGGAAAACTTCAAAAAAACTGCTTTAGTGACAAGGAAACGGGAATTTTTCTCGTTTTTTGAGACTTCATCAAAATATAAGGAAATTTCCTCAAATTATAGGAGTTCTTTAAATTTTTTCCCTTTTGGAAACATTTTTACTGTGCAATGCTGTGTGACGAAAAGGTCACGCATTGCCTATTCCAGCTCCTGGATGCACAGCCTTTAAAACGCGTTTAAAGAATACGAAACTAGGGATATAACAGACACCTCAGCCATAAAATGAGACCCTGGAAACCTTCTAGGCCAAAACAGATAGAACGCGGCAAAGGAAAACATTAAATAGATGCCGGTGGCTTTTTGTGGTTTGCGTTCCAAAGTGATTCCCTGGCATTATTAGATAGGTTTCAAAAATGGGTTTCTTGCGTCAGATTACCTTTTGGGAGACACTTCTTTGGTCCCAAGGTTATCACGCCCAGGTAATTTTTGAACCCCGTTTAGTAAGGTGGCCAACTCGTCCCGGTCCAATAACTCTACTAATATGGAGGACCAATAGGCCACATTTAATTTTGGGGTTTTCCATAA